TTTAGAATATTTAGTTATTTCTCGATATGCCATAAAGAAATGGTAATTCAAAAACTATAGGATCTTATTTTAGTAAAAATGCTTTTAGTGAATCATTTGGACATTGCTTCTGAAGTTGATATTGCATTAGAATCTGTTCTGTGGAAAGTAATTTATGAGGCCATTCTCTTTATGTAATAACTGAGAAACCCAATTTTAATTTGAAGAATTATAAAAAGGCCTCTCCTAAACTGGCAAGTTGTTTTGTTCCCATTAAATGAATCACTCAAGATGAGCATGTTCATGTACATAAGTGGACATGTATGAGTACTGTGTTTAATGATACAATCTATTAGTATTTGGATGGACATGCACCATCAATTAAAAACTGCAAAACTCTAGCCTTCTGTTCATCTCTCTGCCCCACCCCTTGGATTCTGAATCCCACCGACAGTGTGCTGCTCACTATAAACTTATTTCCTTTAACTCTTTATATTTTAAAATGTCAAATATTACTTGTTGGTTTATTATATGCAGCCATTTATTTCATGATCTAAAAATGTAGGTACTACCTAGAGACTGCAATGTCTAAAAGACAATCCTTGCTCTCAAAGAGTATATAGTCTTGTGGGGAGACAGACATTCATACAATTCTAGCTATGAGGGGTAAAAAATAGGTTCAAAAAAGGCAGAGGTAAGAAAAATTCAATTCTCATCAGAGAAATTACTCAACTTCACTCCTTAGGGAATAAGGCCTTTAGCTAAATCTGGAAAGGTAAGGCGGTTTCCATGGAGTAAGTGAAATGCCTGTGGCTCCCGAGGGAAGTGGGTGAGGGAATTGGTGTTAGGGTCCCAGGTGGGGCTGAAGGACCCAGAGCAGTGAGGCTGCAAAGGCATTTTCACACGCAAAGCAGGGATTGAACTCTGAAGGCTTACTCATTCTGAACTACTTTCAAGCTGCTTTCTAGCCAGCAGAGAAGATGATGTCCATGCCGTGTGTTAATCAAGAAAATAACTAATAATAAGATACAAAAATGGGGAATCAGATGGATTGGTTGTCTTTAGTTTTAGTCAGAATAAATTAAATTATCCATCTTATAGGTTGGGAACAATATTAGATCACTTTCTTGTTTATCTCACAGGGCCAAGCAGGATTCAGAGAAAGATACTGTTGCCTCCGCCTCCCACTTAGAAATGGCAGGTGGCACGCACTCAAAATCTACTCATCACTGCATTAGAAGAGAGGGAGAGTGGAAGAAGAAACCAGAGTTTGTGAACAGATTCTTAACCATTTGTTCCTTCATGCATCCAGCAAAGGCAAACATTGCTGACACATGTATCTCCTGCACTACACATTTCCTTGGATTTGTTTTTCCTTTTCAGTGAAGGTATTCAGGGTTAGGTTGTACCTGTAGCAACTCTATCCACTGCAAGCTCATCTGGAGACACATCTTGGAATTCCTTTCTTGACACAGATGAACTATCTTGGAACAAAGTTGAAGCAGGGGTTAGAACTGGGACTACGTTCAAACTTGTCCACAAAGGCGCTTGGTATGTGGAGTACTTCCTTCCCTGCCAAGCACAATGTGCAGAGCAGAAATGACATTTATGAGAAGCACAGACTTTGTGTGTCTCCTTTTAATGTTCCTTAGGAGCACAGCACTTATCTAGTCATTGTGGCCTCTGAGTGGTGCCAGCTCCATTCTTCTGTTGTCAGTTCAAAAAAAGCAATTTGATCACAGCCAGGCATGGTCCCAGGATTCTTTCAGCTGTTGAGTTGGAATGGTTTTTGTTAGAGGGAAGGTAATATTTTCTACATAGCCTAAACTCCAAATAATGGATTTAGGAGAATAAGATAAGTATCTTTGCTATCAAGTGCTATCTAGCTGGCCCCTAAAGCTCTCTGCCTTTTGCTTTCCGTGCCTTAGTGTAATCTCCCTGGTTCTTAGGAAAAGATATAGCAGAAGTGAGGGGCTATCACTTCCCAGATTAGGTTTCAAGTCTGTGATTCACATCTTGCTAGTGCTCTGTTTTTCACTAGCACTCTCTCTCTCACCTATGGGTCTTCTTGTGTGATTGCCTGCTCTGGCAAGCAACTTGCTGTATTTTGAGTTGTCCTATGGAGAACCCATATGGCAAGAAACCGAAGGTGGACCCTGGCCTATAGCCAGTGAGCAAATGAGGTCTTTAATCCAAAAATCTTCAAGGAACTGTCAACCACTGCATGGGAACGAGCCGGAAGCAGATCTTTCTGCAGTTGCACAGTGAGATGATCGTAGCCTGTGCCAGTCCCAGTACCAGAGGATCCAGCGATTCAGGGCCAGAGTCTTGCTCTATAGAAACTGAGATAATAAATGTTCCAAGCTATAAGATTCCACATAATTTGCTACACAGCCATGGAAAATTATAGAAGCAGTAAGGTTTGGGGATGGGTCACAAAGTTTAAAAAGAGGATGTGTATATACATTTATATCCATCTGAATCGCTAACCTAGATAGGACATTTATGACAGATGTCCTACATACACTGCTTTATAATCATTGCAACAAGCTGGTAAAGGTGTTATTATTCATATATTTTGAAGGAAATTGATATTATGGAAATTCTGTTATTTGGCTCAGAACATACAGCTAGAAGACAATAGAGAGAAGAGAGAAAACAAAGTGTCTCCAATTCTGAAGCCTGGTTCTTTTCTCTGCATTAGAAAGGCTCAAGAGGTGGGGGAGGGGACAGAGTGAACAGAAATTGAAATCCCCTGTGGATCTTTTTAAAGTTACTTATGTTGCTTTCTTCCTTCGGAAGTCATGATAGTTCCAATTGAAACAGGTATACTCCATCCCCAGAAAAGTATGGCACTTAGACAAGTTTAGGTTATCCTTTTCAGCTTTGGCTTGGGTTCTGATAATAAATATTGCATATTCCAAGCAGGTTCAGTCTGTAGAAGCCTCTGTAGTGATTAGCAAAGTGATCATGTGGCTTTGGTATTCTGATATTAGGTTTTCCTAATGAAAAATAAAACAAACGAAAAACAAAACAATGGCACCCAGAGCACCATTCCTTCATAGGCTCAACTTATTGTCTGATGGGTGCTAGACATTAAATATCACCTATAACCAAGAGTTGGCTGTAATGGCTTGTGTCTAGATGTCCCTTCAAAGCCTTGTGTGGTCATAGGTGGGGCTTTTTCAGAGGTAGCTGGATCTAGAGTGTGTGATGCTGGAATCAATTCATAGTGCAATGCTAGGATCAAGGGCACTAGGATTAAGGGTGTGAGTGCTACCCACCCTAACTAGTAAGGGTAAGATCTAAGGGATAGGAAGAGCTGTGGCCATCCCTTGCTGCTTTGCTACCTTCTGGCCACCATGAACTGTTTCTCCTCTGCTATTATCATCTGCCATACCACCCTGCCTTGGAACCAGCTGACTGTAGACTGAAAGCTCTACAAACTGTGAGCTAAATAACCCTTTCCTCCCCTAACTTTGGGTGTTGGGTATTTTGTCTCAGCAATGAGAAAAGGAACTAAGACATTGGCTAAATGGGTTTGGCTGAATGAGGACAAGTTAGGAGTAGAGTGGATATGTGGTGAGTCCTGCTTGCATTTTGTGATGAGAGCAAATATGAAAAATAGAAGAGAACATTGCAACATTTCACCTTTGGAAGATGAGGGCAACTTTGTATGTTCCCATGGTGGCTTCTAAGCTGAACAAGCAGCTGGAGACTTAATTTGACCGACTCTGTGTGACCAACTTCAACACTATGTCCAAATTCTATCTTCTCCCATTAGCCTGTTAGCTCCTATAATAACTTTGCCATTCTGGGTTCTTATGCAGGTCACAGTCTTGTTTCCACAACAATGGTATCATCACCCATGTTAGTGAAGGACATCATGATTAGCTGATGAAATCCACAGGCTCTCCTCAAGCAGGTGATTGGAGTGTTTTCCTCAACAACATCCTATTACCTTATTGCTTTGCTTTGTTTTCTTTTCTCTTTTCTTTTCCCTTTCCCCTTCCCTCCCTCCTTTCTTCCTTTCCCTCTCCTTCTCCTCCTTCCTTGTACCCAGGGTCTTATGAGGCAAACACTCTACCTCTGAGTTACATCCAGCCCTCCCTCACTACCTCATTGGATTTTTTCACTGAAGACTTTTATACAGCAGCACTATTCAGTCTGGTGGCCATGAAGCTATACATCATGAAGCTATAGATCACTTGAAATGCAGTTAATGAGATTGAAGAACACAATTTTTCACTTAATTGAATTTCAATTAATTTAAAGTTAAATCATCATATGTAGCTGGTGACTGCTGTGTTGGATAAGGTGGTTTTAGAGGCTTGTCACATTACATTGATTTTTAAAATTTATTTTGGGTTCATACTTATAGAACATTTCCAAGTGCCAGGCACTATATATTTAGACTTTGGGTATATTAACCCAGTGTTCAGAAAAACCCAGTGAGGGCTATTATTTACACTTGAAAGCAGAAAGCTGAACTTCAGATGCAATAGCCTGCCTCAAATTACATAGACAGAAGATAGGACTCAAAATAAAATCTGTCTATCTCCAACTTGTGTTTGCTGTACATAAAAATGAGGCTAAAATAATAGGAATGGAGGGTAAAAAACAAAACCAAAATGGATTCATGACAATTGACATATAACTCTTGTATATTAGTCAGCTTTCCCATTACTGGGACATGGTACCCAATACCCACAGCCTTTAGGAATCAAGGTGTAATTTCACTTCTGGTTCAGTCCAGGGTTGGCTTATCTGGCACAAATAACATGGTCCAAGGGCATGGTGAAGCAATGGCATTGGGGCAGAATAGGAGAACAGCACCAGAGAGGAAGGGTCAAGGGACTAGATACAGTGCACAGGTAATGCCTCCATGGCCCACCCAGACACACCCAGAAGCATGGTCTGCAGCCCCTCCCAAGACAACCAAGTTGACACAATCAAGCTTAGCAGTCACACCTTGTTATAATGTTTTCTTTCATTTTATTGCTTATTATAAACATGTTGGCCATAGAAAATATGTTAGTTTATAAATAACCCAATTCAAAGCTTTCACATCATATATTATTTTTCCCCAAATGCATCTATGAAAATAATCAGTGAACTTCAAAAATATATAATGTGCATATTTATGCTTTTGTGACACTAAAGGCAAATAGTAAAAATAGTCATCTATTGTAGGTGTATTGGTTTGTGGTATGCATTAGGAGAGGCCTTAATTCAAAGAAGAGATATGCTGTGGACTCAAATGGCTCCTATGTGGGTAATATTTACAGAATATAATAGGTTCACAATGAATGTTTACTGAAGGTGAAGACGATGAGAATTCAACTTTCTGATGGTCTTTCCTCCCTGTTTTTCTTAAGGAACACATAGTTATTTGCAATCAACATTCTCAAAATCAGAGACACTGGCATTTTAGCTGCAGCAAAACTGGGTCTGATCACACTTGCAGAAAAGAAATCAATGAAAGCATATATACTCTTGACAGTGTGCTAAATGGTTTATGTGAGTTAGGAAGGCTCTTACTAGAACAGGCTGGAACTTTTGGATACTTTGCATCTTCATAAGTAAGAACGCTGTCAATATCTAAAAATCAATCGAGTCATTCAAAATAAATCTAGCCTTTAGGCCTCACTCAGAGTTAGACTATATTCAGTCAGATCAATGTATTTCTAGTGTGGGCATTTGAAAGTAAAAGAAACTACTTATATTAGCTATTAAGTTTCTTAACTATAAGTACAGATACTGTAACATACTCTGAGGCATTCTTTGTTTTATTCAGCAAAACACATATAATTTTTGGACTTCATTAAATTATGATGATATTAGATTAAACATTTTAGGTTTAATGGTAAAGTGACAAAAAGCCTGGTCATCTATCTCCAATGTCCAGTATACAATTTTTAAATACACAAAAATATGCTAAGGTCTCTTTCAGCAAAATATGGCACCTGTGAAATATTTATTAAATGCTTTTACATCTAAAGGTAGGCACTTCATAAGATTTGCATTTGGTAAAAGGTAACCATTGATGACAGTATCTTACCCTTTTTGATCACTGTAAAACTTTTTTAAGAAAACTAATTATCAAAATTTTACAAAACCAGAACAAAACTTTGGCTCAGTTACGTATGAATGGAACTCAATTTTATTTTTCCCTCTTCTTTTTGTAAATCTGTTATATATTTTCATGAATAAGTTCTGAGATATTTGCTACCTGATATAAAATCCATTGGAATATTTAGCTTCTTATCTTACTCTTGAAGTGAAGTATTTGTTGCCTGTAGAACTTCTTTCAGTTTCCCCTCACAGTTGGAGTACTCTTTATGAAAATCCACTGACTAAAGCCAGCAGTTAGGCAGTAGTTAGCATTGAAGAGCTCTTGGCTTCTAGTAACTGTTGAGTCTCTTTGATCCTAATTTAACTCTGAAATTAAATAAATAATATTCAATTGTTGTTTTTACTTCCAGAGACATGGAAATTTACACTACCTAAAAATTTGAGTGGAGTTTTTGTGGCCCAGTGGACCCATCTACCATTTAATTTATTTTAATTTTCTACCATTTTTTACCATTTAATTTTCTACAGGATTTCTTTATAAGATATCAAGGTTCTGTTTGAAGTCCTGGTAACAGGGAGCTTCACAAAGCAATCTAGTCAATAAGAAAGCTCCAACTACTCCTTTTTATACAGGTATACCTTGGAGGTATTACAAATTCAGTTCAGTTCCAGACCACCACAATAAAACAAACATCACAATAAAGTCAGTCATTCAAATTTTTTGGCTTCCCAGTGCATACTAAAGCTACATTTACACTATCCTATTAAGTGTACAATAGTGGTATGCTAAGAAAATTCAATGTGTATGTCTTAATTAAAATACTTTATTGCTAAAAAGTGCTAATGACCATCTGGGGCTTTAGTGGGTCAAAATCCTTTTGCTGGTGGAGGAACTTAACTCAGTGTTGATGGCTGCTGACTGATCAGGGTGGTGGTTGCTGAGGATTGTGGAGGTAGTGTCAATTTCTTAAAATAAGACAACAATTAAATTTGCTGCATGGATGGACTTTCCTTCATGAACTATTTCTCTGTAACATGTAATGCTGTTTGATAGCATTCTATCTACGGTAAAAAATCTTTCAAAGTTGGAGTGAATTCTCTCAGACTTGGCTGTTGATTTGTCCAGTAAATGTTTGTAATATTCTAAATCTTTTGTTGTCTTTTCAACATTTACAGCATCTTCACCAGAAGTAGATTCCATGGCAAGAAACTACTCTGTGTGTCTGTAAGAGGCAGCCCCTCACCTATGAATGTTTTATCATGACACTGCAGCAGTACAGTCACATCTTCAGGCTCCACTTTTCATTCTATCTAGTTCTCTTGCTACTCACACTGCATCCACAGCTACTTCCTCTACTAAAATCTTGACTTAGCAAAATTATCCATGAGGTTTGGCATCAACTTCTTTCAAACTTATGAATGGTGATATTTTGGCCTCCTTCCATGAATCATGAATGATTATAATGTCATTTAGAATGTTGACTCCTTTCCAAAAGGTTTTCAATTTACTTTGCCCTGCTCCATCAGAAGCACCACTTTCTATGGCAGCAATAGCCTAATGAAAGGTATTTATTAAATAAGACCTAAAAGTAGAAATTACTTCTTGATCCATGAGACTCTGAAAAGATTTTGTATTAGCAGGCATGGAAACAACTTTAATCTTGCTGTATACCTCCATCAAAGCTCTTGGGTAACCAGATGCATTGTCAATGAGCAGTAAGTTTTGATAGTCATAATGTTTCCTGAGTGGTAAGTTTCAGCAATAAACTCAATAAACTGTGTTGCAAATGGGCTTTCTTGTTCCCTTGAAAGGTCACAGAGAGTGCAACTAGTACAATTCCTAAGGACTTCAGGATTTGAAGAATGATAAATGAGAACTGGCTTCAACTTAGTCACCAACTGAAACAGCCCCAACAAGAATCAACTTTTCCTTTGAAGCTTTGAAACCAGACATTGACTCGCTATAGAAGTCTTGGATGGCATCTTCTTCCTGTATAAAGTGGTTTCATCTACATTGAAAATCTGCTGTTCAGTGTAACCATTTTATGATCTGTGTAACTTGCTGCAGCTTCTTCTACATCAGCAGTTGCTGCTTCAATTGCACTTTTATGTTATGGAAATGGCTTCTTTCCTTAAACCCCATGAACCAACCTCTGTTAGTTTCCAACTTTTCTTCTGGAGCTTCTGCTCCTCTCTCATCCTTCATCGAACTGAAGAAGGCTAGAGCTTTGCTTGGGACGAGGCTTTGGCTTCAGAAAATGTGGTTGGTTTGATTTTCCATGCAGACCACCAAAACTTTCTCCATTCCAGCAATAAGGCTATTTTCTTTCTTATCCTTCAGATGTTCACTGGAGTACCATCTATATTCTTCAATGAGGAACTTGTCCTTCGTATTTACAACTTGGCTGTCTGGTGCAAAGGCCTAGCTTTTAGCCCATCTCAGCTTTCTACATGCCCTCCTCACTAGACTTACTAATTTCAAGCTGTTGTGACTCCTTCTTTCACTGGAACACTTCATTCATTGGTCTATTTTCAATATTGTTGTGTCTCACATAATAGGGAAGCCCAAGGAGAGGGAAAGAGATGGGGAATGGGTGGTGAAGCAGTTAGAACATACACAATATTTATCAATTTATTAAGGTCCTTGTCTTATAGGGGCACGGTTTGTGGCACGCCAAGAACTACTGTAGTACATCAAAGGTTACTGACGATAGATCATCTTATCAGATATAATGTTATTGAAAAAAGTCTGAAACACTGAGAGAATCACAAAAAGGTGAAATAGAGAGATGAACTGAGTACATGCTGATGGAAAAACGGCACTGCTTGATGCAGGGTTGCCACAAACCTTCAGTTTATAAAACACAGAGTATCTGCAAAGCACACGAGTAAAGTGCGTTAAAATGAGGTATGCCTGTACTAAAACCAAATTACCCTTCTGGTAATTTCCATCCAGTGCCTCAAACAGTGCCAGGCACATAGTAGGCTCTGTGGCACTCAATATACGTTTATTGGTGAATGAAAGAATGAACAACTCTACTTCTGACTTTTAAAGCTGCATAGAATAAAGCTATTTCTTTGTAGACCAGGCCATCATTCTCTTGCCCTTCTTCAGTCTTCTCTTTTCTAGGATCAGTACTGAAACTTCCTTCACCTGGTGCTTATCATGACTATCAGCTGTTCTGTCAATCTCATTACTTTTTCCTGAATGTGCTTAAGTGGATCGGGAGACATCCTAAGATGCAGTTCCATAATACTCCACGCAGGGTTAGCTCTGAGCAGGGTAGCAATGCTGCATCCTTTAACATAGATAGTCCATACCTGGCCTGAAAAGTATTCCCTAGAACAATTCTTTCTTGCCTGTTTCTGAGGAGAAGCATTTTATTCTGGGCAAGATCACTGACTGGCTCTTATTCTGCTGTGAGCAAAGGGTTATTTCCTTGAACTTCCAGGGTAAGGCGGGGGTGGGGAGCGCTGCGCTGAAGGCTGTGGTGTCGGGGAGTATGGAGGAGGCAAGTCTGGATGGTATTCCATCTCATGGTCATGACTGTAGGGGGGTGGTGCCACTGCAAAAGAGAAGGAAAGAGAGTCAGGCATCTAGCAAATACCTAAGTGTTTACCGTGTTTTAACTACTGGCCTAGATACTTTGGGAGAGGCCATCATTTTGTCTGCAAAAATCATAATCTTTTTTTCAAGTGGAGGGAACATATGTATGAAAGAGTGAGTGCTCTGAAACGTGGGGCTGTGGGTCACAGTGTTTGGAATCATTGGCTTAGCAAAAATTTTTTGGAAGTATGATGCTGAAGAGGCACAGAGAGAAAAAGTGGAGGAAAAATTCAAGCTCCAGCAGCACAGAAACAGGAGAGCACTTTTGCTTAAGCAAAAAAACGGGGCGGGGAGAAGAGGGAAAGACATCATCATCATGGTGGCTCTGACTGTCATGTGTGATGCAGCACTAGGAGAGATTTTTTTTGAGTACATTAGAGAATATGCTTTAGGACAATGACTCCACAATATGGATGGAAGGAGACTGAAGCAAAGGTGAGATGAAGTGGTAGCGTACCTGAAGGATTATAAGGGGCTGATGACCATGAGGGGAAGACATTTATGAGTCCCAAGTAACTCAGGGCTTAAACAGTTACTAGCTAAATGGAAAAGGAGTGAGAGACTAAAAGAAGAGGTAAGGCTACTATATTGGGTACCCAGTATGGGACTCCTATAACTTGGAGGATGGTGTAGCCATTATAGAAATAGGGAAACAAAGGTTGGGAATGATCAAGAACTGAATTATCTAAATCTTATTTAAATTTTTTCTTTAATATATTACTCTATTATATGCTAGTGTTTTAAATCGTATTTAATCCACTTTGCCATGTCTATGTATGGTTGTCTACTCTGCAGTGATCTCAAGCCCCCTCCCCAGGCTTGGAAGAGAGACGCTCCTTGAGCTGAATTTCACTGGTGCCTTCACAAAGTGAATCATTCTGCAATATCTGAACAGGCCCTCAGCAGCCAGTCTCAAGAGGTGCCAGAGAATCCCTGATTCCACTGGGAAAGTGACATGCCTTAATTAGTTGTTGTGACTGAAACCTAAATCTCAAGACTACCATCTTAATAATGCAGCTAAAAGGCCAAACTTTCCAAGTTAGAATGGCAGAAAAGAACAAGTGCAATTTGAACAAACTTATCCCTAATGTCTTCAAAGTCCTGCTGTTTCCAAAAGGAATTTGAGAATGCTCTGATAAACAGGCATATACAGACATAGGTGAGTAAACAAAAACTATGTTTTTTTCTGCATCCCTCTGGCTTACTAAGAGCTTGATGACTGGAGTTCTTTCCTTATCTCCCTGTACGTGGAGAATGTAGGAAGCAGAATTGAGTCACCTGAGGAGAAAGGAAGGAGTCACAGAACTGAGGGGGATGTTCCCCAAATTGCTCAGCTAGTAAGTACCATATCAAGTTGGCTGAGCTGGTTGAGAGCTCTCAGCAGCGGACATAACCTTGTAAAGAAATCAGTGATGATGTTTTCAGCATCTCCAACGCACCTTCATACCTAGGCTCCTCTAAGCTCTGTTTTCTGCAACGAAATGGAATTTATCCCGTGGAGTCCATATTCATTCTCTGAATTTTACACCCACTCTGCCACTTTATTAAATCTAGGAAGAGTGAGAAAAATAGATTGCTAATAAACTTCATCCCAATCAAGAAAGGAAACAGTTCAACTTCCATGCAAAATAGCAAGTTCCAGCTGGATGCTCACTGATCTGTCTCTTGTAAGAATGCAGTTCTGCACTGCTTTTCCGCTGACACTTTCCCCTGCCTCTTGCTTGAGGGGCACAGGCGAACTGATTCTGCAGATTTCTCTACATCAGTCTCTGTCATGAAGCCATGGTGTGTTTATGGGTCTGTAACAAAGCCGTTACATTCTGCCATCTGCATAATATCGGCTGGAGGACATTACAATGAGAATCCTTATGGTTTAGGCAGCTGCACGGTGAACATGAAAATCTCCTCTATGAAACAGCATTCTTTTACTCATGTAACCTTTGAATTCTGATGAAAGGATAAAATAAGGTTGAAAAGTGGTATTTTGGGAAGATCCATGATGAAATAAATATGACACATGCTTTATAATGTCAGTCACTGAAAGACATTTTGAGATAATACATGTACAATGGTGAACTGTTATCTTTCTTGTTGGTAATTAGGTTTCACTAGGAAGTAAATGTTTCAAGGTATTGATTTAAGAATTCCTTATTAATCAGAAGAGGTTTTATTCTTTGTTACAGGTCAAATAATCTTCGAAAGATGTGTGGATGAAGCTGGAGACATGGGACCTTTGAAATTCTTTCATAATCAGTATCCCAATTCACTACTGTAATAGACATGTCATTTATCCTCAATGTCTGATAAAGTTATCTACAATATTAAAAAAACCTGAGGAGCACTATACAGAGAAAGAAATTTAATGTTTTCAATCCATTCAGACTAACATCTCTAAGAAAAATAGATGGCATTATCAAAGCCATTCAACATTATTTTAGAACATTTAGAAACAGAAGAAAATCATCCATAACTTTGTCAACGCTCTTTAACAAATGAAATCTATATTTGCTAGTTATTTGTGTGTATTTATATCCTCACAATCACAGAAAACAGTATACATTTTTCACTTTGTATTTTAACATGTCTGTTTTATTCTGCTACGTATTCTTCATAAACTTTATTGTTAATGACTATATGTTATTTCACTTACAATTCACTTATTTTGAAGTTAAAGTTTTAATTATTATAAATAAGGAGTGAAGAAAAGCTTCTTATAGAAACTTTCTTTTTTCACTTTGAATGATATTTTAAGAATAAAATCCCAGAAATTGACTAACTGGCTAAAACAGGATGTAAATTTTATTGTTTAGGGGACATTATGAAACAATTTTTAAAAGAATTGTTGAAGCTAGTGAGGGTCCCAGTAAGGCAAAGGCATACTATCATTTACTACTTTGGTAATTTAATATGTGAAATAAAGCCACTTCATTTTATCATTTCTTTGATAATAGTAGGGTGTACATTCTTCTACTTTTTGTCTACTGTTTGAAATTCACATTTGGTAAATTTTTTTTGGTTCTGGGTAGGTGGCTTATGAATTAGGCTTTTAATTAGAATTAAAATATAATTAAGGGGACAAGATGTAAACAAACATACAAAATTGCATATTTTTATTTTAAGAAAACTTGGTCAAAATGCCTCTTTCATTACATGAGTTTTACCTCACTGACATACTGAAGTTTAAAACTTGTGCATGACAAACTGTTTTTCATGTTTATCATTATTTCAAAAGTTAGTCTTTTTCACACGTTACATAATGGACCTGAGATTATGCATATACATTTATATATTTAATTCTGCTTGTAAGAATTTGTTATTTTGTTCTATTTTTTACATCAATGTTTATTTTTCTAGGATTTAAGATTTTGTCAAGCCAAATTAAATGTAGCATATCAAATAATCCTTACTTTTCCAATTGTTTTGTTCTGTTTCCTTTACAGTCTGTAAAATTTTAATCTCCCTGTTCTGTTCCAATGATCCAGTTATATTTTTGTACCCAAAATGCCTCATTTTAATCATTCCTCATTTTAAATGGTTTTGATAAATGGTAGGAGTGATGACTTTCATGACTAATGATTTTTTTTTTTTTTTGTATTAGGGATAGAACTCTGGTCCTTGTGCTTGCGCAGCACTGAGCTAAATCCCCGGCCCACATGACTAATGATTTTAAAAGACAATTTCTACTGTTATTCTAAAAAGCAAACCTTTCCTCCATTCTCCTGCAGTTACTACTCAGGATTTGTCTGACCCCCATTCCAAGGAGAGGATTTTAATAAAGGTCCACAAAGCTCCTGGCAAGGACCTTACCATGTCATCCCAGTCACACAAACAGAATACTGCCCGTTTCCCTTCTACAATGGCCTAAGATGCCAAGATAATATAAAGGATTGTTCTTCTTCTCCCAGATTACATCAAGACAAGTCTTTCATGTTTTACATCCCTCTGTCACCATGAGAAAGACAACTGTGGAGCCTGAACCAAGAAGGCTTGGCACATCTAATCTGATTAAGCTTCCAAACTTCCCCCACCCTGGCTTTCCTGTGCTCAGTGGAAAACAAAGCCTGTCACCAGAAAAGTGCTGCGAGTCTTCTCCTTTCTTTTCCTTCACCTTACTTCACCTTACACTAGTCCAGAACATGAGGAAGTTCTTTTCTGATTGTGCCTTTTTGTTTCTCAGAGAAGTAAGATCTGTTGCGAAAGCACCTGCTAAGCGTAAGTAAGGGAGGCTGTGAAGAATTCTGACTTTTGAGAAGGGAGAAAAAAATGCATGAGATCATTATCTCAAGGAGTGGATGGGAACATTCACTTCACCTTTTTACTCTAACTAAAATTTGATTTTCCATGCTTGGATGACTTCCCCTGTACATTATCAAATCAGAGCTGGCCTTTTTCTCCCCTTACTACAAACTACAGGGCCAGGATGTGCTCAGAGTGTTTATAATCTTTGTAGCCAGTTTTCAAAAAGTTATGTTTGCCCTCTTTAAAAACCCAAGTTCTTTTGTAGTCCATATGATATGGGGCCATACTACTTTTCACTTCTTGATATATATGTATATAGTCCTTCCTGTCCCAACCCATATTGAATGGAAAGTACTCATCAGATCCACAGCTTCTTTTCATCCCAGTACCTATTACTATTCCTGGTCACTTCAACATCCAGGTATGCCTGTTTCTGAGTCCCTTGACATGTTTTGCTTTCTATTTTCATGCTTGTTTTTAGCAATAATGGTACTGTTTTGTAAATCTTAGTTTATGAATCTGACTAGTACCTTTTAGATTTCTAGAATACCACATTCCCCTACATCTTCAACCCCGCCTGGATTTTCAATTAGCTGATGCAATTTAAAAAGTTTTACTTTACATAATCTCTTTCCTGTCTTCATGTCCTTCTTTATGCAGCTAAGATTTATGCTCCATTATTAAAATTTTCTCTTTGCATCTGCTGTCAACATTCTTATT